TAAGACATCTAATGGGGTGAGCAGCTAAGCAAAAGGGTAAAAATAAAGGAATCAGCAACAGAAAAATAATGCAGGAACAAGATTCAGCAAATACTTTTCAGTAATAATTCCCAATGTAAATGATCTTAACTCTCCAATCAAAAGGTACAGATAAGCAGATTGTATCCAAAAATGTAACCTAAGTGTATGTTGCCCACAAGAAACACACCTCATCCATTAAAAAAAAATAATAACCTGAAAGTGAAAGGATGGAAAACAATATTCCATGCAACAGGAGCCAAAAAGCAAGCAGGAGTAGCTATCATGCTTTCAGACAAAGTGGACTTCAAGTCAGAACTGATAAGAGATAAAGGCACTACATACTGGTAAAGGGAGTAGTTCAACAGGAAGACATAACTATTATAAAGGCACCAGATTTCATGAAACAAATACTACTGGACATAAAAGATTAAACATCAACACAATCATAGTGGGGCTTCAATAACCCCCTCTCAAAAATAGGTCAACCAGACAAAAAAAAAATCAACGTAGAAATATCAGAGTTGAATCACACCATGGCCTGTAGCTTTATTCCTTGCATTTAGCAGTTATATTTTGAGTTAATTTATATATGTGGTATTTTGTAGAAGTCTAACTTTATTCTTTTGCATTATGTTATTCTATTGTATCCCAGCACCATTTTTTGTTGAAAAGCCTATTTTTTTCCTATTTAATAGGTTTAGCATACTTGTTAAAAATTGTACATAAATATACAGGTTTATTTTTGTAGTCCCACTTTTAATATGATGGTGTATACATAATACCTCCTGTGCCAATACCAAATTGAATTGAGTTCTCAAATGAGAACCCCTTTCTAGTCCTGCTGTATACTGCTAGTTGGCTTTTGTAATTGCCAGTTAATGTAGTGGTATATCTTTTTGTTCAATCCTGTGAAGATATTTATCTTTTTGAAGGACACTGATGGAAAGTCAGACTTACAAAGCAGAGCCCATTTCTTTCCTTTTCTCCACTCAAACCTTTGCTGTTCCATCCAGTGCTTCCTTTATCACTCCAATTCCTCCAAGCTTGGCAAAGGATCTGCATATTCAGCATATAGTTACTGCACATTTTGTTCACTGTTTATGATTCATAGTTATCTCTAGATTTTTACTGACTAGTAGGGAGAAAATTAATCTGCACTACCAGCCTTCCTCATTAGAAATTGATCCAGCTATCATGTCACAATTCACAGTGACATCCTCTTTTGCCCTGGTATCTGGTCACATGTATCACACTAGGGCTGATTATTTCTTGGCACAGATCCTACATGCTCAGAAACCACAGTTTTATGTATTCTTCTTTTCCTTAAACAGAGATGCATAACCCTGCTTTATCCTTCAATAAAAGTGTGTCAGTTACTTTTCTCTCATTGCTGAGACAAAATACCCAACACTCAAAATTAAGGGGGGAAAGGTTTATTTAGCTATCAGTTTGTGGAGGTTTCAGTCTATAGTCAGCTGGCTCTAAGGCATGATGGCATGGCACAGGGGCAACAGTTCAAGGTGGCAGAAGACAGCAAAAGCAGCAAAAGCAAAAAAGAGGAAGAGCAAGCCTGTTTTCCTCATTGTAAGCAGGCTACCACCCCCTACAGTAGGTATGTAGCACTCACACCATCTCTCTGTCCTCCTTTTACACAGAATGACGATACTTGCAAAGTGATGACGCTGACCCCCTGCTGAGTTGCTTATTTAAACTTTTAAACTCCTCAAGTTGACATACTGTATCAACCATTACAGCAGGATTCATGAAATAAGTAGTTCAGCCCATCCCAAGAATAATTTTTCAGGAGTTTAGCTCATAAAAATCAGACAGTGTGTGGGCAGTTTACCTAAGACAGATAACAGTCAAAGTAGTAATTTGAATTTCAAAGCATAAAGCCTGTTTGTGTGCCATGAAGCAGTATTGTGGTATAGCATAAAGACAAGGTGGTGGTCTTCTCCATGGAAACAAACTTGAAGACGGTTAAACAAAAAGTTGTATTCCTTTTCTTCATATTCTAAGGACACTGCATTGGTGTTACTACTGAGATTAAAACTTGCTCCACAGTGTTCTCTTTTCCTCATTAAGGAAACGAAAGTAAAGATTTAATGCTAAATTACTAAGCATTCAAAGTTGCCTCTTTTAGAATCTGCTAGTTGAAGTCTCTTAAATATCTGATTTTGATTATTGAACCAAATAATTCTAGTTGCTTTCCAGCTGTTACATGCTTCCCGTTTTTCATGTCCCCTAACTAGACCAGAAAACCCAAAGAGACACAGTTTGCCTCTTTGTCAGAACTTGCGGGGTAGGGCACTTTAGAAAAACTTCTTCCTCAGGAGTCCCAGTGTCTGTCTTCTAGTTATCTGCTGACTCACCTTAGCACTGTCATGAATAAATTAGCTCAACACTTACTAGAGCCTACCAAAGGATAGTAATTTCTGCTTAAATTGTTTCTTACTGTCTCTTTTTTAAAACTTATTTCTCTGTTTATTGTTCTGTAGTACAAATTTAGCAGTTTAAGACAGTATTTATTTTCTGCCCAAGCCTAGGGTTTGAGAGAAGCTTGGTAAGCACAGCTTGTCTCAGCTCCCCTAAGGTCGTCTAGACAGCTCGGAGGCTGGACATTGGGAACATTGCAGGGCTTGTTCACTGATAAGTCTGGGTGTGCTGGCCCCTGGTGGAACCACAGCTGGGACAGGCAGCTGTGGTTCCGAGTGCCTTGTTCCATGTGTGGTCATCAGTCTGACATAGAGAGCATTCTTCACCTAGCGGTGAAAGTCCCATGACATCACTCTTATCACATTCTAATCATTAGAATCAAGCCAAGGGTTGACCTACATATTCTTAGCTTTTTTACAGAATGAACATTGGATTCATGCCTTGTGAAAAGTTACTTTTACAAATATTTTTGATAAGCTCTCCATCTTGGGCTTTCTGTGAGGCTGTACTAAGGTAATTCCAGTAAGATTTTTATGCCCTTAAGTCCTTCAGGGCATTTGAATCCCAGCCTTAAATCCCAAAGGGTTTTGTAGTCATAGCTTTGGCTTCATCTGTAGACCATGTGTGCTCATCCACACCCTGAATTTGATCTGATCCCAGAAGCCATTTATTTTAGCATTATTTGACATGTAGAGAAGCTACAAATGAGAAGCAGGTATTTGAACCCATTAAATCCTAGTTTCCAGCAAGTCTTTCTTTAGCTCATCTTGCAGCAATTTTTCTTTCAGCTGCTATGTAGCAAGAGCCCTCTTTCTTCCAGGTATCGGTATCATTTTTCTAACTGACTTCAAAGCCCTTCCTCTCAGCCTCTTTAAGGACCACCAATCCTCCACTAGCAGTCCCTTTGGAGCCTTTTTGGCATGCTTGCTTTTCTAGGTCCTTTCTGCTTCCACCTACATCCAATCCAGAGACGTTCTACTTGTTCTAGTTTTGTTTCAATGGCAACAACTTATTTAGTGTCAGCATCTGTGCAGTTATTGGTTTGGTTTGGAGGTTTTGTTAGTTTGGTATAGTTTGGTTTGTTCCGGTTTGGTTTGGTTTGGTTTGGTTTTTGATTTTTGGTTTGTTTTGGGGGATTTGGGTTTGTTTTTGTTTTTGTTTTTTGTGTTTTGCTTTTTGAGACTGGATCTTTCTATGTAGTTCAGGCTGGCCTTGAGGGCACTTTGTAGCCCAGACTTGCCTCAGATTCACAGCAATCCTTCTGCCTCAGCTTCCCAAGTGCTGGGATTACAGTTATGTGCCACCATGCCCAACTGTATCTGTGAAATTATTTATTTGTAACAAACCAACTAAAAGTTCAATGTTACAAAGCAAGATTTATTTTGTTCACAGTCTGCTGTTTGGGTCAGGGGCAGTGAGGCCAGTTCATCTTTTTCCACTTGGCCTCAGCAGGGGTGACTTGAAGGTAAAGACCAGATTTATCTAAAGGATGTCCCTTCGCATATCTGGCAGTCAGAGCAGGCTTTACCTGGGCTTTCAGCAAGGCAGTCAGTGGACCACCTCCATGAGGATTCACATGTGGCTTGAGCTTCCTTGCTGTATGGGGACCAGTTCCCTAGGGAAAGTCAGGTGAATGGTGTGTCAGATTTTCCATCCTCACCAGAGAAGTCACATGGCAGTTCCACCATACCCATTTCACTAGAAACCAGTTATGAAAGTAAGCTTCATGTTCAGGGGAGGGAATTTTACAGGGGAAATGTTGAAAATTGTGCAGGCACGTTTTTAAACTGCCACTCTAATTTTGTCTAAAGATGATGGTACTTCCCACTCAATGCCACTGACATCCCACCACATTTTTGTTGTTATTGTTGTTTAGTATGCTTTCTTACTTCCTGGAAAGGATCAGATTATAAGACAGTACCATTGAATTAAGTCATTTTTGTTCCAAAAAATACATGGATCATGTCACTAAATTTCTATACTGGAGAATATTACCAAACGTAACAGAGAATCATTACATCATAGAATGTAATTCCAATTAACATAAATCATTTGCAATTCAGGAAATAGCTTATATCTAAAATCCATACATACCAGAGACATTAATTAAAGCCCTAATTTCAAGTCTCACGCTGGTATCCTTTTATTGGTTCAGACCTAAATAACAAAGAATGATGTCTCTAAACTTGTTTTAGAAATGATGAGGTGGAGATGGGGAAGAGATAAGAGAGTTGTACTACTGAGAGGTGACTCAGAGTCATTTGACTGTCAGAAATGAAACAATCCTAGAAAAATAAAAAGTCCAAGGTCAAATGCATGTGTTGTGTGACAAAGATAATGAGTATAAGAATATATTTTTGTGACTCTGGCTGTTTTTAACTGTGTCAATTTTCTGACTAATTCAAGGGAGTGTATTCTAAGAATCTAGTGTGCATTATATTTTATTACAACTGAATTTACGTCTAAAATTTTTATTTGTTTTGTGTGAGACTATTCTCAGCCTGCTTCCTTCATGACCAAACTGTGTTATTTTATTCATGCAGATTGGTGATCTTGTATCAAAACTGGAAACTACATCTTCCAAATGTCTATATCTGAATGAAAGTAATCAATCTCTCCGCCAGGAGTTATTATCCATGAAACATATACAAAAGAAATGTGAATCACTAGAGGAAAATAAAAAGAATTTGGAACAAGAAGTACTAAACCTCAAACATTACATAGAAAAAAATGTGGTAAAACATGACCAACTAGAACAGTATAAGCAGAAGATTGAAGAAAGCGCAAGACAAGAGCTACAGGAAAAACTAAAACAAGTTAATTCACTTTTACAGATTAATTTATTTATGTTTAAAGTGTTTGAGTCATTTCATTGATATTTATATTTTGAATATTTACATTGTATGTATTTTTTCTGCTTCCTTTATAACTTCTGTCTTGAAGTTCCTTTCTAGAAAGAAGATGGCATCTTGTGTCCTCTGTTAAATATTTCCATTTCATTATAACTAAATTGATCTCTCAGAATGATGATATTTATTTGAGTATTATTTGATTTTTTAAAACTAGTGGACATAAAACTGTTAAGAGCAAAAAAAGCCTTGTGGTGTAACAATTATACAATACTCTTGAATTGCTGTTACCTTGTTGTTTTTAAGTTTTTGAATTGTTTATGTCCTTTGAATGATTGAATTACATGAGTAATAAGAATGATTCAGGGCTAAAGATGGAACTCAGTGGTGGAGTGCTTGCCTAGCACTGGGTTGGATCCCTAGCACCACTAAAAAAGAAACAGATTCTAAAATTTTATAATTCAGATTTTATGTAGTTGATATTGATGATAAATCCCAGCATCTTTTTCACATGTATAAAATTCCTCTTTGAATCATTGGCTCAAAACTAAAGGAAATAATTACAAAATAACTATGAATCATAATCGAACAACACAATGAATGTTTTTAATTTTTAAACAATTTTATCATAATAAAAAAGACATATTGCTATTAGTTCCCCTTCAAGTACCCTCCCTCACTTGGAACATACCTGTCCCATTATTCTTGCCACTTGCCCAAGCACTTCTAGAGGTACTCCTTCATGAATACCCTTACTTGTGCTGTCACAGCTGTTTCAATATCCTGAATTGATTCAAAATGTTTACATGTCATGCTCCTTTTGACTCTGGGTAAGAACCATAAGTCACATGGGGCCAGATGTGGTAGATAAGGTGAATGAAGACACACCATAATATTTTTATGAGCCTGCCTTTCCTTTGGATGGATCAGCAGCAGCATTTACTGTTTTTAGTCACACCTTGTAAAGACACTCATGAAAGTAGACTTCCAAAAGTGCTTCAGAGGGACTGGGGATTTAGCTCAGCAGCACAGAGCCTGCCTGGCTAAGTGTGAGGTTGTGAGTTCAATTCCTGGTACTGGAAAAAAAAAACCAGAAGTGCTTCAGAAAATGGCAAGAATAATGGGATAAGTGTGTTCAAAAGTAGGGGAAGTATTTTGAAGGGAATCAATGGCAGTATATTTTTTACTGTAAAAAATAGTTGAATTTAAACATTAACTGCATATTTTGATTGCCTTATGTATTTGGGTCATAATTACTTTTAAAATACATTGTTGTGGATGGACAGCTGATGGTCAACTCATAACACCCAGCTGAATTGAGTAAATGTGGTACTGGGTGTGGGAGGGGCCACCTGAGGATTGTTGCCAACAACATAAAATACAAGAACTGGAGAAGAAGAAGAGGAGCTGATAGGGAGGCTATTGGTTCTCCTTGTGCTGTTGGTTCTCCTGGAGGAGCTTGTCCTGCTGGCTTTCCTGATATGAACTCAACTGTCTCATGGCTGGAGGAGCTTGGGACTTTGTTGTTGCTGAGGATAGCTGTGGTACCTTTTGGGGGAGCTCTGGTTCTTACTTTGAACACCACTTCCTGACTCCAGTGCAGATCCCTCAGCCTGCTAGAACAGGTCCTTCATCCTGCTGGCACAGACTTTCTAGCTTCCACCACTGACCTTTGGGCCTTCCCAGTGCAAACCCATGAAACATACTTGCATAAGGCATTGTCATGGGGTCTCCAGTTGGACTTGTGTGGGACCCTGACATGGGCTTTAGGTCTTCAGCTGGACTCATGCAGGACATTGCTATGGGATTCAGGCCCTCAGCTGGATTCTTTGGGTCTTTAGTGTGTGGAAACATTTTCTGCACTCTTTCGTATATGACTCTTTGGGTTACTATTATAAAATAATCTTATGAAGTATGTGTCCTGTATTGTTTTCCTTGCAAACCCTGACCACAGCATATATCCTTTAATTTGCTTTAGACACATGCAGAATCTCAAGAATATTTAGCACAGTGGAGAGAGAGTAATGCTTCAGTGAGAATTCAGATGGGACTTAGAATTAAAGACCTGGAGTCAGAGCTCTCTAAAATGAAAACTCAAGAAGAGATCAATAAAATACAACTAGAAGAATATAAACAACTTTATAAAGAAGAACTAAAAACTACAGAATTATTGTACAGTAAACTAAACAAGTAAGTCAAAACAGAATCATAGAAAGTAAGCTAAGGGGCTGGGGATTTAGCTCAGCGGCAAAAGCGCCTGCCTGGCAAGCCCAAGGTCATGAGTTCAGTTCCTGGTACCGGAGAAAAACCAAAACAAAACAACAACAACAAAAAAGAATAAGCTAAGCTCATTAATTTTTCTTTAAAGCATAATTTATAGAGACAGGCTCCTGAAATTAGTAGGATATGAATGTTAACTAGAAATTTTGGAAAATAAATTTATTAAATGAGCTTATCTTTGAAATGTTAGTCCAAGGCAGTTTATATTTCTTCCTCCCTTTTATTGAATTTCAGTTTTTTGAGACAAGGTCTTACTTTCTTGTGCAAGCTCGCCTTGAACTCACTGTGTAGCCCAGGTTGGCCTCAAACTCACAGCAATCCTTCTCCCTCAGCCTTCAAAGTGCTGGGATTACAGGTGTGTGCCACCATGCCTACCTTTGTTTTAGTACTTTTATGTAGGTAGTCTGATTTGGTCATTCAGGTATTTTTGAAGCTTTATCATTAAGAAAGTTATAATGCTATAACAATACATGTTGCTATTTATTTAAATGGAATTAATAGCCTTATTTTTGGAAGATTACAACATAAACCCAAAAGATTAAGTACTACTAGTACTGGACACATTCTGCCACTTGGTAAAATAGCTTTCCTTGACTATGACCTTTGGCATTATCACTGGAAGCTGCCTGTAAACCAACTGTCCTGTATATTTTTTTTCTACATAAAGTCATTCTCATGATACAAAGAAAGATTAACACAATGAAGAGCAGAAGTACAATTCACTGGTGTGAAATAGTGTGAGGGGTGGGTGGAAGGCAGAAGAGGCGGGTCCACCTACGATGCCTTGGGAAGGGGATCCCAGCCCAGGAGCTCCCCTAGTTATTTGTGACCATGAAGCCAGCAGCCTCCTCCCCTGGAGATGGTTGTTGTAAATTACTTTCTCATTGCCAGGTAGTGGGCAGATGCACAGGTGGAAAAGTTACCACTAGAAAATATCTTTCAGAAATGTTTTTTTTTAAATCCCTAAACTGTGTAGCGAAATATAAGCATTTCTAACTTTTGTTTCAGTTTTATTTTTCAATTGTATATATGTAAGGAGTACAACATAATGTTTTCATATGTCTGTTTGAATGTTGTATAGACACATACACATATATATATGTACCTTTTCTTCAGTACTGGGGATTGAACCCAGCCTTTTTTTTTTTTCTTTGAGACAGTGTCTCACTAAATTGCACAGGCTTGGCTCCAACTTGTTATCCTCCTATCTCAGCTTCTTAGAGTGCTGGGATTATAGATGTATGTATTTATACAAATTGAAATGGCCGAGGCAGGGCTCCTGGGACCGAGTGTGGGCTGGACGCATACCACCATGATTCCCAGCTGAAAAG